TATATAATATATATATATATATATTATAAAAGGAATGATTGAAGGTTATTAGACGAGCCTCAATAATCTCTATGTGTGCTAAATATTTGAATATCACATCCTAGGGATTTAAACTCGTGATCTCAAGAAACTTTTGATCTTTAGAGAAATTGCCCTATGAACATACCACTGTTTACTTTACAAGTGATTGTAGCTATTAAAAATAATCTGTTAATAAGCTAAGTGTGGTGGTTATTACAAATTTTTATTTTTTGGAAAAAAATAAGACCATTATCAGAAAGCTGTCACCGCACCTAAATATGTGCGGTGTGAAAAAATTATTTTCAGCATTTTGAAAAATATAAGCCGTTAAAATATAGTTTACCCAAATAAGTTAGGTGCATTTCTAAAATAACATCTCATCAAATAAACTGCCTAAAACCAACCTTTAGAGATCTAACTGTGCGGTTAGCATAAAAGAGCTGCACGTCGGCTGATTAGTATAACAAGCTCTATGTGTGCTAAATATTTGAATATCACATCCTATAAACTGAGGGATTTAAACTCGTGATCCCAAGAAACTTTTGATCCTTAGAGAAATCGCTCTATGAAAATACCACCGTTTACTTTACAAGTGATTGTAGCTTATTGAATAATCTGCTGATAAGTTAATTAAAAATAATATGTTGATAATCTAAGTGCGGTGGCTATTATTTTTTATTTTTTGAGAAAAAATCAGACCGCCGTGAGAAAGTTGTCACCGCACTTAAATAGGTGAGGTGTGAAAAAGTTATTTTCAGCATTTTGAAAAATATAAGCTGTCAAAATATAGTTTACCCAAACAGTACAGGTGCAATTTCAAAATACCATCGTACCAAATAAACTGCCGCAAACCAACCCTTAGAGATCTAACTGTGCGGTTAGTATAACAGAGCTGCACGTCGGCTGATTAGGATAACAACCGTTTTGAACCCTAATCAATCGCCACGAGTACCTTTCTGCATCATCACTGCAAAATATCTGAAACCCCGCTTTCCATGCTCCCACCCTCCAGGGACACGCGTCGCTCCGCCGCCTCCCCCTCCTCCCCCTATATATTCCACCCTCCTCGTCCCCTTCAACCGACGCCATTAAAGAAAGGTAACCCCTTTCCTTCTCATGACTCATCCCTCTCTCCCTGACCGCCGGTTCCTCAGCCTATCGGCG